GTGACATGCTACCGTGACGTGCTACCGTGATGCGTTACCGCGATGCGCTACCGTGATGCGTTACCGCGATGCGCTACCGTGATGCGCTACCGTGATGCGTTACCGTGATGCGTTACCGTGATGCGTTACCGTGATGCGTTACCGTGATGCGTTACTGTGATGCGTTACCGTGATGCGCAACCGTGATGCGTTACCGTGATGCGTTACTGTGATGCGTTACCGTGATGCGTTACTGTGATGAGTTACCGTAATGCGCCACCGTGATGCGTTACCGTGACGTGCTACCGTGACGTGCTACCGTGACGTGCTACCATGACGTGCTACGGTGATGCGCTACGGTGACGTGCTACGGTGATGCTTTACCGTGATGCGCTACCATGGTACACGTTACCGTGATACGTTACCGTTACGCGCTACCGTGGTACACGTTACCGTGATGCGTTACCGTGACGTGCTACCGTGAAGTGCTACCGTGATGCGCTACCGTAACGTGCTACCGTGAGGGAAATGCGAATTTTTGTACAAGCTATGCTGATGAAGTGTAATAGCAATGAAGAAGCTAAATTTCGGCAGGATGAATTAACGTGAAGTTCACGCGTTGCCGTTACCTTCATGTTAATTACCATGAAGAAAATCTGGCCTGTAAAAAATTTACACAAATTATTCGATTATAAGGCGCATCCTTAAAAAGCCGTGAAACTAATCATATTCAATTCTCGGAGTTTCCATCAGTTATCCAATATCCTATGCCTGTTTTCGTTTTCGTAGTAAATTAATTAACTTGTACACATTTTCAAAGAAATACTTAACTGAGTTCTACTCACCCATGAGCGTGCTGTTGGTCAAGATCTTGAAGAACGATGCAGGGTCCATGTTGGCGGGTAGAATCAACTCAACAATCTTGACTTAAGTCAATAACTAACCTACATGCGGCGAGGTAAAATATTCTCGCTTGGCAACATTATGCACCGAAACTTCATGTTGAAATGTTCGCTTGTGAACGTTTATATGTAGCTTTTATTTAGGTTATTATTACAATTTATAGAGTTTAGAGTGTTCTGGGTAATAACAGAACCGGACATGGTTTTCAATAACGAATATACGACAATTTTGGCGATGGGCGTCTGCGTTTTCAGTAATTCAGCGTCACACTTCACTGTATTAATGTTTTCTAATTAATGTGGTCGAGTCTACTTCTGCATGAACTATTCTTACGTTCATGAAGTTCAGACACATTAACAATAAAGCACCTGCAAGTAAATATTTATTTAGTTATGGTCTTTCTCTTACTTGGATATATCAATAAATTTCTTCATTATAAGGCCAACAAAACGCCCCTAAAATAAGATTAAATCGCTTTGCGGCACAATAATCTAAGACATAAAAATGTACTGGCGATATTCCGATTTTAAATGCAATTTTATTTTTAATTGAAAAGCACTCATGAATGAGCAGAAAATATTCTACAACATCTCTGCCATTAAAAAAACATAAAAAGTTTCCCAAATTGCCGAGTATCATCGCGACATTAAGAGTTACGTGCCGGTCTTCGCCGAGTAATGACCCCAGAAGTCGCTCATTAAAGCTCCATTAAGGCGGAATCAGCTGCATTCTTCAGGAGAATTCCTAGGAGAAGCCGGCCCACTCCATGTGCAACTGAATAATTCAATTTACAACTGAATAAAGATACCTTAAGACTGGAAATTCACGGAAGGAAAATTGTAAATCAAAGCCATATTGTTCGAAAACCAAATCGAGACCGACAAACAATCAATGGCAAGCGACGCCTTTTAAATGCTACCGTACGTAGCTAAATATTGTGAGTATAATAGTGCTCGCAAGGCCTCGAAATTAAGAGGCTCGATTAGCTGAATTTTTCCAGGAAATTAGCTCGCGGTCCAACAAGCTAATATGGCCGAGGTTTCTCTGAGATAAAACTACTTTAGCAGAAAAGCTCGATTTCCTCAGGGGATTGAGAAGGGGAGAGACCATTCCTCGGCAAATCGAAAAATAAATAATTGGTCATTGTTACAGTGCCAATACATCGAAATTAATAGAATAATTAATTGTGCAATTATCTACAGGATCAAGCGGAAACACATTGAATCAGAAATATATAATTAACTCGACTGTTGTTTGATGCTGTTGACACAATCAAATATCGCTCCGCATCCAATAATTGCCGTGGTTTTCGTTCTGCTGTTGAAATCATCAGCGAAATAAAAGTTACCAAAGCATGGCCGACAATCAACTGTTATTGATTTTCCTACGGTTTTTGACAAGTTAAAAGTTTATAATAACACCGATGGGCTCTTCCCGCGACTCGGCCGCGTTTACTGGAGAAATTGGTCGAGATTGTGCAGCGGACGAGGAATATTCTTCGGGATTATAATGCGTTCCACGGGTCAATCCCTGTCCTAGAGTGTCGATCATGATAACTTCAAGGCTGTTCAGTTTACCTAACTCAAGCATTATGAGTAAGCATTGAAATAAGATTAAATTTGAAATATATTGTGCAGAGAGCTGTTGAAAAACGTATCACTAACGGAAAAAATAATAATAATAGCGGCAATATAGCTTGTAGTTATTCACTGCATCAGGTAGCAGCAGATCTCGTTCTGCTGGTGAGATGACTTAAAAACTTTTCTATCATCAGTAGAAATTAAAAAAATTGTGTGACAATCTGTATTCGGGAATACATAAAAAAAAATTAACAAACCAAGACCGGGAGACAACCAATTAAACACAGAATTGCTTCGATAAAGTGGCAACCTATACAATGTATTCAGGCAATCACGATACGAATGCTGAAGCAAGAAATTTATTTATCTATAGTAATTTATGAAGATTAAGTTTCCACTCACTGCATTGGTGAACTATTAAGAAATACCAACGCTGAAAGTGCGCCCCAAATAACTTGACTATATGACCAGTAGTATAACAGATGATCATGACCGCCGCGCGTCCAGGCGAAGTTGCGCAAGAAATTGTCGTCTGTGGAGCAGACGAATTGAGGCAGACGAGCGTAACTTTAATTCAGGCGATGAAGACAAGCTTCAGAATAATTTCTGCGGTCTCTCATTAAACAAAAAGTATAAAATAAACAGTTTTTTCTATATGTTTACTAACGAGGTTTGTTATATTCCGAATGGGAGCAAGAGACTGTGAAATGCATCTCGGAGGCCTGAACAATCTCAAGTTCTCCAAGACAGAAAAATATCCAGACTCGACGCAGCTGGGGAGAAGGACGTTTGCTTGGAAAGTATGGGAACAATTCAGCGGTATTTCACTAAGCTATGCTGATAAAATGCTAAGGTTTTCAACTATGTTCAGGATGCAACACTGCTCCCTAAGTTTCGTGGGAAATAATACCATTTAATGAAAGTAACGCGTGCATTTCTTGATCAATCATGTCGTTATTGAAAAACTCTTCTTCATATCGCACGATATCAAATGACAAACGTGGATACCTACCAAGTTACAAATCTTGAATAGTCTTGTCATGTCCAGCACACATAGCCCATGGCGCGTGGTTCGATTATTGCCGCCGAATTTCAGTCAATTTAAGAGTGTGGAGTTCACAATTCGCGGCTCGGGCTTGGCGTGAGTTTCACTCTGGACGCTCCGTGCGCCTCAAACGCCCGCATAAAATAGAGCTCGGGGGAAATTGTAGCCGCGGCGCCTGATTTTTGGCTCTGCGAGGACTGGAGTGTCTGGCGGGACGAGACGTATTTAAATAAGGCTTCATTTGCCGAATTAGGCAACGCGACACAAAGATTAGGCGCGGTTTCGTCCAGAACCTTTCCGCTGCATTAAACTTATAACAATTATTATGTTGGTTTAAAATATTTACAGCATATGAGATTTAAAATATGGGATTAAAATTTAATCAACAAATGGATAGGAGATATTTCAAGGCAATTTTATGTTTGACGAAAGCCGGTAAACTTGGACTGACGAATAACTGCGGAAGTTTCAATTCTGAAGGAAATATTTTTTCCCCTTCGCCACCTGAAAAAAAATTTGGCCCTCTTACCACATGAAAAAAATACAGCAGACCTGACAAAAAAATTGTCATCTAAATTTTCGGTCATAATTGTCGTACGAACAACGGCATTTGTCGTTGTTGCGCGTAAACGTTACAGTAGAGCTACAAGGGAGGCATCTGCGGAGAAATTCTGAGGGCCATTGTGAAGATTAGCGCCGATTAGTAGGAATTACGGGCACAGTTCCTACAAGAGGCTGGAGTCGTCTGCACTTGGTAGCAGGAAATGTGCAGCGAAATCAAGAATACGAAAATAATCTGAACAATAAATGGCAAAAAACGAATAACAACAGAAAAAGATTAATAACATTCTTGCGTAGAAGAACGCATTTATTTATTTCTTTTCCTCAGTTTCTCACTAAAAAAGTCACGCGATAGGGAAATTAAAAATTAAATTCAGTCACTTAATAATATTTTTTTCTGAAGTGTAAGCAACAAAAGTCACATTTTCAAAAATCCTAGACACTCAAAGTAATTTGCATATTATATTTTGATGGGATTATCCACATAACTATTTTCATCCCACTTTACAATTTGAAACCCCCCAAAATTTCAATGCATTATATAAAAAGATCTCATTGCAAAATTGATACCTAGTTCAAAGTCAACCTGTGGGCAGAGCGATGTAAACAGTATTGTTTGTTTTGAGTAAGCGACAGGAAATAACAATTGCTCCATTGTTAGACATTTTATTATGAAAAATGTACAAACAATCAACACCAGATAAATCAATTTGTATCATTATTACGGTTTTCCAATGAGAGCACTTGTTTCCTTTGACAGCTTTTATTGGTCGGTGTGGGTGGCATTTACCTCCTTGCTATTTAGAGGATTGATCTTGTCAACAAAACTGTCCTTCATTAGCTGCCGATTTAAAAGGTTGGTGGCCAAATTAATAATCGATACTCTTGTCAAAGAGATCAAGATATGATGTCCTCGACTCACTATAAGTAGCTGCCATTTTTTCTTTCTTTGAAGTAATTATTTTCATTTAAAATCAACTTTGTACACTGAAAGTCTTATGTTTCTATCTCACTATACTCTTTCGCATAACTCTTGAATTGAACGATAGTTCGTAGCCAAAAATTTCAAACCTAATGTCTAAGTGCAATTGCGTCAGATTCAGCGACAGATAACGAGAAGGAGCTTAGGAGCTTCGGGCGGAACGGGCTAGCCGGAATATCGAGTGTGAAGAGCAAAATTCTTTACTTTATTGCCAATTGAATGACAAAGCTTTGGAGAGCGAGGCCATTCTAATCCCACAGGCGAACGCTCCGCTGGATTCAACTGCTAGAAAACCTGAAATTTTAGTGGAGCTTCCGTGGAACGCCACCGAAATATCAGGTCGTTATTAGCGAGCCCAGGAATATGTGGTGAAAATAGTCTTTCACAAAATATCGCAATTAATACTTTGCCCATAAGCGTGGCCCTCAAATAATTTTTTTAATGAATTCCTACCTCAAAAATCGGTTTGTATAGAAGCCTAAATAATTACCCTGAAATATCTTTCAAATTTGTTTATATTTAGAGGACGTTCAATGGTGTCATAGTTTCAGCCATATGGCTCAAGGTCATTGGGTCCGTAGAGTGAACAAAGAAACGGGTCTGAACATTAGGGGCGATGAACTCTAGTATGAAACTCGTGAAAATTGAAATGAAATTCGGATTTCATTCGGGTGATGAAATTCGAATTTAGTTTTTCCACGCCCTTACACCACACTATGATTCCTTTAAGGAGAATTATTGTTGTGTAGAAATTTCAAAAGGAATCTCTCTCGTGGATGGCCCTCACGATCGTCTTTTTGGTCCCCAAGGACACCTTGTCATA